TTACCAAATTTACCGACAGCCCTAATAAAAAAACAGGTATACATTATTTGATTTTAGAATAACTTTTTTTTTCTATTGAAATTTTAGGATTTTTTTTTAAATTATAGACCGTTGTTTGTACTTTTTAATAATTTAAAAGTTATATAATTTAGTCTTATAATTATTAAAGGGCAAGGACCTCAAATATCGCTTATCAAAGTTCGCTTATCAAATTTACCGACAGCCCTAATTAAAAAACAGATGCACATTATTTGATTTTAGAATAACTTGTTTGTTTTTTATTAAAATTTTAGGATTTTTTTATGAAATTATAGAACGTACTTTGCGCTTTTGAATAAAAAGATAGCTGTTAAATTAAGTCTTGTAAATGTTTCAAGATAAAGAATTCAAATATCGCTTATTAAAATCTTATTTACTCTATTAAGAATACGGTTTAATATAAGTTTAAATAGTCGAGTAGTAATAACTTTAATAAAATTCGGAATTATTTCGCTTCGTCCTCGGTTCGAATCTATGAATCTTTCTCGCTAAAAAATCGTAAAATTGTAAAAATTCGTAAAATTCGTATAATTAATAAAAATTCGTATAATTAATAAAAATTCTATAAAATATAAAAGATCTATAACAGATATTAAAATTAACTTCTTATTAATTAAGTTTAAATTAATTTAAATCTAATTAACTCTCGAGAATCTTATTACTAATATAACTTCTCTTTTTTCTATTAATTTCTTTTTTTTAAATTTATAAAACGTAATTTACGCTTCTAAATAAAAGATAATTATCAAATTTAATCTTATAAGTATTTAAAGATAAGGAATTCAAATATCGCTTACTAACCTATTTACTCTTTTAAGAATTTTTCTTAATATAATCTTAGATAGTCGAATAATAATAATTTTAATAAGATTCGAAATTATTTTAATCTATTCTCGTTATTAATTTCTCTTAAAATTAATAAAATTAATACAAACTGTAAAAATTATAATTAATATAAAAAAATGATAATAGATATTAAATTTAACTTCTTATTAATTAAATCTAAATTAATTTGAAGTTATTTAACTCTTTAGAAACTTATTATTAATATAACTTTTCTTTTTTCTCTTTAAAATTTACTATTATTTTTATCAGTTATAGAACTTCTTTTATACTTTTAAATAAATTAAGATTTATAAAATTCGATTTTATAGTTCCAAGTAAATCTTAGATTAAAATATTTTCACTCTTCGAGAGTCGAATTCAATCTCGAAATTAGATTTAAAAATTAATTACTTTTTATAAATTTAATTCATAGGCTTAAACTTGTTATTAAAGTAGTTAAATTAAATTTAAGCGATTAATTTTTTTTATAATATTACTATAACATATTCGCGAGTAGATACTTATTTAGATTATATATTTTTACTTTTTAGTAAAGTATATTAATAAACTTAAAATCAGATACGCTATTATACTCTATAATCAGTTTTTTATAAATTTATATAAGAATTATAGTCTATTAATAGTTATATATAAATAATTATTTTATAAATAAATCTTATAAACGTTTTAATTATCAATTAGTATATATAATAGAATAAGATAGAGCTAAGCTATAAAACCTTAAATTTGTATATACAGCCAATCATAAATTTAGGATTACTATCCTCTTTGGTTAGATCGGCTAAGTCATCGCGGGTAAATAAATTAGCGTCCGTAATCATTAAAATCTCTTATCTTACTTTTAATCATTTAACAACTTTACTATTTTCTATCAAATTTTTGAGGTTTTTTTTTAGAATTATAGAATAAAATGTGGGCTTTTAGGTAAAAAAAGAATTATGAAATTTGGTCTTATAACTATTAAAGCTCGCTCGACAGCCGGACAGCTCTGAAGCCTCTGATTAAAAAACAGGTACACATTATTTTATTTTAGAATAACTTTTATGTTTTCTATTAAGATTTTAAGATTTCTTTTTTAAATTATAGAACGAAATGTGGGCTTTCAGACAAAGAAAGAGTAATAAAATTTGGTCTTATAATTATTAAAGCGCAAGGAACTCAAATATCGCTCACCAAAGATCCCTTACCAAAGATCGCTCACCTATTTACTCGATAGCCCTAATCAAGAAAAAGATTATGAATTTAATTCATAGGCTTTTACTCGTAAATTTATAATAGTTTAATCGAATTAATATTATATAAATAGCGTATAGAGTAATAATATCTATAAGCCGATTTTTTATAAAGTAACGTTTTCTTCTTTAATAGATTAAAGAAGATTATTTAACGTTCTAGTATAAAGGATTATAATTATATTTACTATACTTTAATACGTTAGTTAGCTATACTTTTACTAAATATCTAATACTTATTAATAATTAAATTCTCTTTTAATTAATCTTTCTATATTATATATAATTAATAAAATATATTAATAATAAGAATAATCTTAGTATCTCGATTTAAATTAATTTTTTTTAGATATAATCTTATACTCTTTTATATACTATAGAAATTATTTAACGATATTAATAGCTATATATACGAAGACTCTTATATTATAAAGCTATATAAATCTATATAATTTTATTAATATATATAAAAGAATAAGATAGAGCTAAGCTAAAAACTCTTAACTTTATATATATAGTTAATTATAAATTCGGATTCGCTACGCTCTTTGGTTAGACCGGCTGAGTCAGCCCGATAGCCCTTCCGCGCCTTCTTATTTAAAAAGTAGATGTACGTTATTTACATATAAAATACCTTTTTTATCTTCTATTGAAATTCTAAGATTATTTCTTTCAATTATAGAGCAAGGATTGTGCTTTTCAATGAGGGAAAAGTTTTGAAATTCGGTCTTATAATTATTCAAGGATAAGGACCTCAAATATCGCTTATCAAAGTTCGCTCACCAAATTTACCGACAGCCCTAATCAAAAAACATATACACATTATTTGATTTAGAATAACATTTTTATTTTCTATTAAAAAGATTTAATTCTTTTTTTAAATTATAGAACGTAATATGAGTTTTTAGATAAAAGATTAATTACTAAATTTAGTGTTATAAATATTTAAACGCAAATAATTCAAATATCGCTCTTCAAAGTTCGCTTAACAGCCCTAATCAAAAAATAGATATACATTATTTTTAGAATAATTTTTTTATTTTCTATTAAAATTTTAGGATTTTTTTTTAAATTATAGAACGTAGTCTACGCTTTCAAATGAAAAAAGAATTATAGAATTGAGTCTTATAAATATTTAAAGATAAAGAGTTCAAATATGACTTATTAAAAACTTATCTACTTTATTAAGAACACCCTTTAATATAAGCTTAGATAGTCGAGTAGTAATAATTTTAATAATTTTCGAAACTATTTCGCTTCGTCCTCGGTTCGAATCCGTAAATCTCCCTCGCTAAAAAATCGTAAAATTATAAAAATCGTAAAAATCGTAAAATCGTAAAATCGTAGAAATTATAAAATTGTAAAATTCGTAAAAATAATAGAAACTCTATAAATTGTAAAAATAAAAATAAAATAGAATAATAAGTATAAACTATAATAGATATTAAAATTAACTTCTTATTAAAAAAAATAAAATTAATTTAAAGTTAATTAACTCTCTTTAAACTTATTATTAATATAACTTCTCTTTTTCTATTAAAATCTTTTAACTCTTTTTTTGAAATTATAGAACGTAACTTTCGCTTTTAAATAATCTAAGAATTATAAAATTCGATCTTATAGTTTTAAGTAAATCTTAAATTAAAGTATTTTCACTCTTCGAGAGTCGAATTCAATCTCGAAATCAGATTTAAAAATTAATTACTTTTTATGAATTTAATTCATAGGCCTAAACTTATAAGAGTATATATTAATAACGATATAGATCTAAATACTAGTAGTCTCTAGTTTATAATAAGCGTTAATTAATTATATAGCATTAAAATTAATTATTAAAAACTTCTTTCTTCTATACTATTTTTCTTATATCTATAATTAACGTTAATTAAATCGATAATTATCATAAGTTATCTCAGGGCACACTTATAGGGCTACTAGCGTAGGCTTGGCACCGCACATATCTATCTACAGACCACATAGATTAATTAATATCTTTTATATCATATATATATATATGAGTTAAATCATAATAATTCCTTAATAATAATTCTTAAAAAGTATATAAGATTATTTCTCGATATAATAATATTATTATAATAAAAGTATATATATAGATATATAAAACTATAGCTATTAATAGTATTTATATTTAAATACTCTTTTATAATATAAATAATCTTCTTATTCTAAACGCGAGTATTCTTTAACGTATACTTTCTTTTTAATCTTATTTTTAATCTTAATTCTCGAAGCTTTTTTAAAGTTATACGTAGTTTCTAGTTCTTTAATACTATTAAAATCTTTTTATTATTTATAATCTATTAAAAAAATAGAGTTATAATTAAAATATCGCGAAGCGTTTTATCTTTATACTCTAGTCTATTATAGCGTACTTTATCTTAAGCTTTAATATATTTTTTAAATATACTATCGCTAATAATAAGATTACGTTAAATAAATAAAATTCGTTAAATTTTATTATATTCGATACTTAAATTAAGAAAGCTTAGAATAAATTATTTATATAACTTTATATATTTTAAAGATCGCTCTATAATTAGTATTATAGTAATAAGATAAGAGATAAATAAATCGATTATATAATATTACGAATATAATTAATAGTAGTATAAGATTAATTAAGTGTATAATTATTAACTATAATAAATATAAATAGAATATTTAGATATAGTGAGATAGATTTGATTGGGCAAAAAAAAAAAAAAAAAAGAGTAAAAACCGTTTTGTCAATATGGCACACCGTACCCGCGCCCCAGCACATATTTCGGTAAGGATTCATAGTAATTAGCCCGATGCCTCCTTCAGAACACCGCTCGTTGGAACGCTGCGAGAGCTGTGATTCCCAATACTGGAGCGCTGGTCATGATTTCTGGTCAGCTCATTGGTAGCATCGACGACAATGACGTGACATTCCCGGCCATTGCGCTAATCGAACTGTGTCTGCTCCCTGGAACTGGTGCCGGGAATGCTCCTGGTGCAGGTGCTGGCGGTCAACGTGGTGTGGTTCGCATGGTTCTAGCTCTGGATCTCTTCTGCCGTATCGCAACCGAGGTCTTTTAAAGTAGGCCCTTCCACTACTCCATTGCCGTTGCCAAATGTCGATCGTGCACCGTCGTCACCTACTCGGCGTCCCTCTTCCGCTTTCAGGCCTATGCGTGCCAACGTTCGCGATGATACGTCCTCCTCCTCGAGCGGCCTCAGCGTCCTTACACCTATTAATGAAGTTTCAATGGGCGAAGCTGGTAGCGGGTCCGGAGCAGCTGATGGTGAGGTGGAGAGTGACGATACCTTGGAAGGGATTGAAGACTTGAGTACGTAAGATCCACTGCTGCAAAGCGATGTACTGCACGATCAAGCTATTTCCTGCTTTTAGTTGGCGCTTTGACTAGAGTTATTTGATACGCTTTGACTTGGTCGCAATGCTTAGATAAATATCCGTATTACTTGACTAGATTCGTGCCCGCTTGCAAATATTCTGATTGTATATCTTACTGATCTGTTTTACTCCATAGCTGTTTTCGTTTCTGTTACCCACCTTCACTCGCAGGCTAGAGATGCCGGCGATCCGTCAAAGTCGGCCGAGGACACAGAGAGCCGTTGATTACAATCGGCAGAACGACGAGACCGCAATACGAAGATACAGACGAAGTCTAACCAATGGCGTTAGGCAGATTCGAAGCCAGATACCTTGGTGGGTCCAAACTAATGCTGCTCGTGATCTATCCTGGCAAACCTTCTGGTCCCGAACCTGCAATCATTGCGGTACGGATTTGCTAGATGCATAACCAAACGCTTTCTGCTGTCGTGGGAATACGGTGAAATTGCCTTCGCTCCCATCATATCCACAGTATTGGAACCATGCAATGCAACCCTTTGAAACCCGACTGGGCAGCTTCATCAGCATGCTTAACGGCCTGTTCAGCTTTACAACAATCGGTGTTACCTCGGGGGTTTTTACACCTGCTTACGGAGCGGTTGCAATCACCGGTCGAGTCTATCGTCGTATTCTTGATCCAGAGGATGGTGCCCACTCGTGGCGATGGTTTCTATATGATAGTACAGGTCGCAGTGATACTGCCGATCGCTTACGCGTCTCTCAACAAGTGACTGAGGCAACTCGCCGTATGCTGGAAGATCTCAATCCTTTTCTGAGGAATGTTGGTTCTGCAATGGCGAGCACAGATGCTCAATCTTACTCAATCTTCCTCGATCAACCTTCAACAGGTGATGAGATTGCTGCAATTGTTAGCGCTCAGAATCTCGCCAACGTGCAGGGGAGACGGATAGTGGTTACTCGAATCGACTCTCGCCCAATTTCAGACTTCATCGACATTCTGTCTCCATCTTATGAGCGACTACAGTACCCATTATTGTTTCCTTTCGGTTCCGTAGGATGGTCGAGAAACAATGCTTTCGGCCTTACTCAAATTGAGTGGTAACGAGCACGGCTGCTACAAGATCCAATCTTTCAGCGCATGGGTCCGTTGGTTTGTGGATGGGCTGTTCACATGTGGTCCCTGGTTGAGGAAGATCGTCTGGCTTATCTAAAGCGGGAGCGTCAGGACCAGCAGCGCTGTCAACGCGCTTTTCCTAGCCAAAATAGGGAGTCTCGAGCAATGGATGGGGACGTACGGAGTCCTGGTGAGCCTGCTCTCGAGTCCGGTGACCATGAAGAGGAATTCGCTCTGGAGTCTTCAATCCCGGCGTCCTTTCTTGGTTCTCGACAATGGGCTTCGAGACAGGTAGCTGATTGTTTGGCGCTCGCAAGAGTCTACGGACAACCCTCTCTCTTTGTTAGCGTTACAACAAATCCGCGATGGCCAGAATTACAACAGCGACTGCGTCCTGGACAAAATCCTCTTGATGTTCCTCATTTACTCGTCAGAGTCTTCCACGCTCCTTTGAAGAACATGATTCAATTTGTCAAGTCAAAATTCAAGGATATTGCATACAGTGTTCGTGTGGTGGAGTTTCAGAAGCGCGGGCTACCACATGCTCATATTTTGCTAAACGTAAGTTTTATACGCTTCTATATATTAATCTCTATCGCTAATTCCAACTATGATAGGTAGAACCAGAATTGTCTTTGGACAGGCTTGATGAATTATTGAGCGCCGAGCTGCCCGATCGTATTGCAGACCCACGTCTATTTGACCTGGTACTTCAATGCAACATCCATCCTACAAATCATCTGGGCGTACCTTACTCGCGCTGCAATCAGAAAGATGTTTGCCTTTACGGATTCTCTCAGTCGTGCAACCCGACTACTCCAGTTGACGAGTTCGGTGGTGTTCATTTGAGGCGTCGCTCTCCTCAGGACGCGTGGGTTGTGTCCTATTGACCTGCCCTGACCAGGCTTATGGAATCACATTGTCGCGTGGACGTTTGTTTTACATCCGAAGCCTTCCTCTATCTCTATAAGTATCTATATAAAGGCGTCGACGGTGCGAAATTCGCAATATCTGATGGGGCTACCACCGATGAATTCCACGACTATCTTCACGCACGTTATCTCTCATCCGTTGAGGCCGTCTGGCGGATTTTGGCGTTTGATATCAGCACCAAATTCCCAGCTGTTACATCCTACAGTCTGCATCTACCCGGCCGTCAATTGGGGCAAATAACGCGCGGCCGCACTGAAGCTTCCATGACTACTCCATTATTGGGCTATTTGGCAAGGTCCAGTGGTGATGAATGGGATAATCTCAAATACCTTGACTTCTATCAAAAATACACGGTCTATCCTATTAACAACGCATCCCGTCGTCGCCGATACGCTACGGTCATTACTTCATCCACAGAGACCGCTATCCTCAACTCGAGGACTTACGGCCTAATTCGAAGAGACCGAATTCGGGTCTGCCGCCTACACTTCATCCCTCTGCGATCGGGCGATCTTTACTATCTACGATCGCTACTACTTCATCGTGCCAGCCATACCTTCGAAGGCTTCCGAGTCGTTGAAGGCACCCTTCACCCTACTTTCCAGGCAGCTGCAGTTGCAATGGGCCTCTTTCGTGGCAGGAATGAGGTCCAGCATGCCTTAGAAGAAGGAATCGCCGCTCTGCTGCGACTTTCCCAGTTACGATTTCTTTTCGCAAGCATGATTTGCGACATCGCGGAAGACCCAATGCAGATTTGGGAAAAATCCCAAGAAGATCTATCTCGGGATTTCTTACAGACGTCGTCCGTAAGCGTTGCCTCAGACCTTGCTTTACACGCGATGACGGATATTTTGCGGGGACGGAATCTATTCGCCACAGTGGGACTGGGGGTTAGTGGGTCACATGAAATTGCACTGTTTCAGGCCCTTGCTAGCAGCCTTGCAATGGGTAGGAGACACGTGTCCCCTACGAGCTATGTAGATGCCTGTCTTGTCTCTTTCAGAGCCATTGCATACTTTTTGTTCCTACCCATCAATTAGCCCTCTTCTATCAAGTCCATAAACACCACCCCACATATAGTCACTATACCCTACCACACCTACCTGCACAATGGCCGCTACACGTTCCTCGTCCAACAAGGCCACCAGGCCCAAGAAGACCAAGGCCACCCCTACCACCGCTGCTCCGAAGGGCGCCAGTAAGCCTACTACCGCCACCAAGCCGGCGAGACCCCCCAAACAGGCCATCAAGCCCACCCGTCCCATCCTTGTGAGGGAAACCCCCTCCCGAACGACCAGCCCAGAATTCAGTGAAGAAACACCGCTAGCGACACGTAATAGGGTCCAGGAACTCGAGGATATGGTGGTAGAACTTAGCCGTAGTGTGCGCCACGCCCACAAGTCGCGGTCTCACTCCCGTCATAGTCGCCGTCATCGTTACGACTCGGACTCCTCCCCACCAGACTCAGAAGACGAGGGCCAGGTGAAGGTGTCTTTCCTACATGAACCAGGTAATAAACCCTTTCTTAAACTCCATGGACGCTACCGTGCGGTCAATATCACGTACTTCAAGCAAATCTTCTTCGGGACCTTCAATCCGGAGCACCTCACCAGGCTGGCTCACAGCTACACCAATCGCGGCATAAACACCAGGTCCAAGGACAAGGATGACGACGTCCGGAAGGCTACCGGGTTGAATCAACTCCTCCGTTATTTCGAGGTGTATGGGCAAGCCATCTGCCACTATTCCCAGCCGTCGGTGGCCCTCGGCTACTGCAAGCCATACCGGACTATCGCATTCGCCTGTCGGATATGTCAGTCCATTACATATTTGAGTCCATGCTTCTGTACCACTATGCCTTTATGGGCGCACGCATCTACCATGGTCAGGACGACCCCACCGCCTGGACCACTGACGATCAGAACTGCAGAAACCTATTGGTCCATAAGGCACCTCCTTCCGGTGGTATCAAGTATGCCAGTGGCCCTGCCACCAAACCCTCCTCTTCAGGGGGAAATTCCTCGTGCCACGCCTTCAATGCGAACCGCTGCAGTCGCGAGCAGTGCAAATTCAGTCATACCTGCTCCATATGTCAGCAAAGTCACCCCACTGTCGCCTGCCCTAAGGCCCATACCTCACCGTCGACTGCTAACGTAAATCTCATGCCGCTGGGAAACCGAGTCACCAGGGCGCCGGCATGACTGCAGGACTCCCCCAACCCCGTCCCGGTGCCTATGTCGCTGCTGGCGGTAGCAGAGTGGTTCCCCTATACACCATACGACCTGTCCGATCCAGATCTACCTTAGCAAGGCCCATTGTTATGGTTGGAGTCTCACACGGACTCCGCCTATGCCAAGGCGCTAGAGGCTATACTTCGGAAGGGTGCAAAAATCGGATATCGAGGCCCTCCCATAGCCCACCGCAATTCGAATCATTTTTCAGCCCTCGCTGCACCGGATATTCTGACAGCGAACCTTCAAAAACAGCTACAGCAGGGTCGGTTGGATAAGGTAGACATCGATCGGGAGCCTCGCTTCGTGTGCTCGCCATTGGGTTTGGTCCCGAAGCATGACGGCGGCTGGAGAAGGATCCATGACCTCTCCTTTCCCTATGGCTTATCAGTCAACGACGGCATACCCTTAGAGTGGGGTGCATTGGAATACGCTACATTCGACGATGCGGTGGCCGCACTGCTCCAGCAAGGCCGAGGGGCCATACTTGTCAAGCGAAACCTGAAAGACGCATTTCGACATATACCGGTAGCGGTGTCAGACCGATGGCTATTGGGCTTCTCATGCGACGATTCCTATTGGATGGAACGATTCCTACCATTCGGCCTACGGCCATCGCCTTTCCTATTCGATCTATTCGCCAAAGCGGTCAATTGGATCATGGTGGCGGTCCTCCACTAGACAGGTTTAGCAACGAATTTCAAAAGAATGATTCAAAGCGGGAACAGCCCTACCCTTCTACCGCTAACCCGATTGGGCAATATCACGGACTTCGGCGAAACCTTTGCCGAAGAGTCACAAATCTCTTTGAATTTCACTTATTCTTCTTCTTTCACCACATATATACATCATGAACTCCTCCAATGATGGGGTCCTCGTTATAACGACCTTTACAGTTATATTGCTAGGCTATTGAGCTGTGATCGCCACTACACCACGTCATAAATACGTCCTTCCAGTGAAGTACGTGTTAGCAACTCAGCTAAAAAAGCTGGTTCCGGGGGGTGTCTGCGCTTGACAGTCAGACACCCCTATTTGGATCTAAATACCTCCGCAGAGCCTCTGTAGGGCCCCGTAGGGCTGTCGCAGGGCTCCCGTAGGGGCTGCTTCTAACAGTACGAGTAGATCGAGTTTAATTAGTTGAATATAACTGTGGTAGTTCGAATAACTGGAATAACTGAGATATCTCTATGGCTGCGGTAGCCCAAGTAGCTGAAATAACTGGGACATCCCCATGGCTGCGATAGCTCCAATAGCTGAAATCACTGAGACATCCCCACGGCTGCGATAGCCCAAGTAGCTGAAATAACTGGGATATCCCCATGTCTGCGATAGTTCAAATAGCTGAAATGGCTGTCGAGACAAGATATCGGACGGTTTCAATTCGTCCAAATATGCATCGTTCGATAGGTGACCCTTGTCTGCAGAGGTTTAATTGGCTGTGATCGACGCAGTAGATCCTTCTCTTGTGTGCTCATTGCAGTGATGTACCACAATGTGATATTGCCTAGGCACGCGGAGATAGCAGGCCAAGTTGCAGTGGTGTTCTCCGCTTGCTGAGTGGCGATCTGACGTGGGATCTTGGAGAGCAGGCCTGTGTTCTTGGTGCTGGGGGCCTTGCTATCGCTTGGTTTCTCCATAGTGTTCTCCGCATTTGCCTGCTGCAGTGGTTCCTCCTCTTACTGAGTATCGGGCTGGTGTGAGATCGTGGAGAGCAGGTCTGTTGTGTCACTGCTGCTGCTGACTGTCTCCGCAATATTCTCCGCATTTGCCTGCTGCAGTGGTTCCTCCTCTTACTGAGTATCGGGCTGGTGTGAGATCGTGGAGAGTAGGTCTGTTGTGTCACTGCTGCTGCTGACTGTCTCCATAGTGTTCTCCGCATTTACCTGCTGCAGTGGTTCCTCCTCTTACTGAGTATCGGGCTGGTGTGAGATCGTGGAGAGCAGGTCTGTTGTGTCACTGCTGCTGCTGACTGTCTCCGCAATGTTCTCCGCATTTGCCTGCTGCAGTGGTTCCTCCTCTTACTGAGTATCGGGCTGGTGTGAGATCGTGGAGAGCAGGTCTGTTGTGTCACTGCTGCTGCTGACTGTCTCCGCAATATTCTCCGCATTTACCTGCTGCAGTGGTTCCTCCTCTTACTGAGTATCGGGCTGGTGTGAGATCGTGGAGAGCAGGTCTGTTGTGTCACTGCTGCTGCTGACTGTCTCCGCAATATTCTCCGCATTTACCTGCTGCAGTGGTTCCTCCTCTTACTGAGTATCGGGCTGGTGTGAGATCGTGGAGAGTAGGTCTGTTGTGTCACTGCTGCTGCTGACTGTCTCCGCAATATTCTCCGCATTTACCTGCTGTAGTGGTTCCTCCTCTTACTGAGTATCGGGCTGGTGTGAGATCGTGGAGAGTAGGTCTGTTGTGTCACTGCTGCTGCTGACTGTCTCCGCAATATTCTCCGCATTTACCTGCTGCAGTGGTTCCTCCTCTTACTGAGTATCGGGCTGGTGTGAGATCGTGGAGAGTAGGTCTGTTGTGTCACTGCTGCTGCTGACTGTCTCCGCAATATTCTCCGTACTGCATTGCTCCTTCTCTTGTAGAATATCAGACTGAGTGACTGGCTGAATGGCTAGCTGAGTGGAGTGGTGAGCTGGCGGGGTAGATAGTGCTGACTGAGTGACTGGCTGAATGGCTCGTAGTTATTATATACTGTAAGAACGAGAGGTATGTATAATGACATCTAGATAGGTGGGTAGATTATTTCTTTATTTTTGCTATGTTCAAATAAGCAGTTACGCTAACGCCGTATAGGGCAACTTTGCAATTGAATCACTGTTTTATAATATAAAACAGTGATTCAATTTGTGGGTGATCGACGAGGCTAATAACTACTCTATATGGTTAGCCTATTGAATTATTACCCTTTTCGTTTTGAATCATTCTTTTGAATCACATTGCTAAACCTGTCTACTGGGCAATCGTGCTCCACTACCTCGACGATTTTTTTCGCTATCCTATCCCCCTGGGCAGACGGCGTGGCATATGGCCAGGCCTTCGATCAGGTATGCAATGATTTGGGCCTCATGGTGAACCATACCAAGGACATTATGGGTACTATTGCGGATTTTTCTGGGAATTGAACTAGACAGCAACTTGATGCAAGCAAGACTCGCCCCGCACAAGCTCGATCGAGTGAGAAACACGGTGGATGACCTCCTAAAACGGGCAACAATCCCACATCGGGAGCTCGAGTCAGCGGTAGGTTTCCTGTCCTTTGCTGCGAAAATTGTGATCCCAGGAAGGGCCTTCCTGAGCCGCCTTTCTGACGCCATTCGGAGGCCGGTGGGTGTCAAAATAAGGTTCCCAGCCTCCTCCCAGCCACCTGTTGGAATAACCACCTAATTTATGAGGAGTACAAATACTGGCCCAGGGGAGCTCTGAGATAGAATAATTTATGCAATCTACACACTACTTATTCTACCATACCTAATATTCTAATAGGTTATAAGCCCGGGCTTGACGCTTAGGATACCACCGCTATTCCACATTAGCCAGTCATGGACCCCGAAACCTCCTCATTCAAGTCACCTATCCGTTAGCTTACGAATAATAACTATTCTAAATAACTTATCGATATTAAAGCTCTTCTTAGAGGTAAAAAGCTCTGGAACTACACTCAAGAGGCCCCGGATTCCGATAAATCAGTCACGGCCCAAGCCAAATGGCGTGATTCAGCAATGGAGGCTGCAGACCTTATTACCCCTACCATAAGTGGCCCCGTCAAACAGAAACTTCAGGCTAACGCTTTTGACGATGGCTACCTTATGATGAACTCTTTGGCCAATATCTATGCCCCGAAAGGGGACGCCGAATTCATGCGATTGACCCGGGAGTACTACTCGCTCCGGTACGAAGATTTCGACTCCATGACTCACTATCTTACCCACATCAAGACGCTGGAGGAACGTATTCGAGGGACCAATGTGGTTCTTGACGATGATAAACAGACTCTTCTCTGTCTCGGCATGACTCTCCCAGAAGGATTTCAGTATTTCACCAAAATTTGGGCTATAACGCCGGGGATGACTGCCGATAAAGCGAGGAATATGCTGCTAGAGGAGGAGAGACGTCAAAAGACCCTAGATATAGGTACTGTGGGCACTGGGGGAGTAGGGCTAGTTGCAATAACCAGGCATCCGAGTAAGAGGACTCCTAGCGGAAAGGCTATCGTCAACGATGTGGTATGTCCTCGCTGTGGGAAGGGTCACGAAGCGGATATTTGTTGGAAGTTGCACCCGGAATTAGCCCCGGAATGGCTGCAAGAAAGGTGGACCATTGAGAAGAGATCTCGGAAGCGGAAATGGGACGAGTTACAGCAGCAGGATTAAGAGGTACTAGGTGAAGAAGGGGCGTTTATTAACTTGTGACGGTCAGGAAGGCTTGTCGGTGACGGCCAGGAAGGCTTGTCGGTGACGGCCAGGAAGGCTTGTCGGTGACGGCCAGGAAGGCTTGTCGGTAACGGTCAGGAAGGCTTGTCGGTGACGGCCAGGAAGGCTTGTCGGTGACGGCCAGGAAGGCTTGTCGGTAACGATTAGGAAGGCTTGTTGGTATCAGATTTGGGTATAGCATCATGTTTTTGATTGGGCTAGGGAAGGTAGGTTATAGGGGAGTGTCGAAATAAGGTTCTTAGCCTCCTCTCAGCCACCTGTTGGAACAATTACCTAATTTGTGAGGGGTATAAATACTGGCCCAGGGGAGCCCTGAGATAGAAGAATTCATGCAATCTACACACTACTTATTCTACCATACCTGATATTCTGACAGTGGCCTGCATACGGATCACGTCCGATATGAGGGCCGACCTACTATGGTGGCAAACCTTTCTGAAGGACTGGAACGGCCTGAGCCTACTCCGTAACGTCGCCGACCGTCACACATGGCATATTTGGACTGACGCATCGGGGAAACTCGGTATGGGCGGCTACATTGTAGAACTCTCGAACCTATCGCCATCCCTTCAGGACGTTTTCAGCGAACGAGTACCCAAACGGGAGCTCCATAAGGATATTCAGTTCAAAGAAATGAAAGCCGTGGGCCATGCCATGCCATCCGGACATGGCTGGATAGGCTTCATGGATCTCGTCTGATCCTTTACTGCGATAATGACGCGTGTGTACATGGGCTTCAGAAGTCTTCCATCCGGGGGCCGGCGATGACACCACTACGGGATATAGCCATGCTCATGGCGACGTACGATATCCATATGGTTCCTACATGGATACCCACCAAGGCGAATCAATTGGCTGACGATCTTTCACGCTTTCGATTTCGAAAAATCGCTGACAAATATCCACAGCTGAGACACCTAGCTACCTCTCTGCCTCGCTAGGGCGAGGGCCACCGGAATCATGGTACAGTCAGACCCCTTTGTCTAGAGAGGCCGCCCGTCTCCTCTGGTGGGGATTAGCGAGTAAAACTCGGAAGACTTATTCAACTCCAACTAAGTCCTACAGTGCTCACTGTGCGATGTATGGCCATAGCCCCCCATTTCCAGCCACTATGGCCTCACTATCCAGCTGGATCGCCGCCCTTAACGCCAAGCGGATCAAGGCCAAGACGATTAAAGCATACCTCACCGGCGTCAAATCCACACACGTGGACCTTGGGTACGAGGGATTAGAGGTTGTTCATAGCCCACAACTGGAACGGATCATAGCCGGTGTTCGCCGGCTACGAGGTGAGGCCGGTACGAAAGAAAGGTGTCCACTGACAAAGGATAAACTCCTCAGTCTACTACCTCAGTTCGATCAGTCCACAAAGGAGGGATCTACTATGCATGCCGCCTTTTGTCTGGCATTTGCCGCCTTCCTTCGGATAGGAGAATTTACCTACCCAATGCGTGACCGGCAGGACGAAGCTTTCAGCAAATGGTTCCTTACCCGCAGGATCACCCCGAATTGACGCTTCCTGCATCCAAAACGGACCCGTTTCGACAAGGCATCACCCTTACCGTGGCCGCTATCGACGATGAGGCGTGTGCAGTGAAGGCACTGCGACACTTGTTTCAGGAGTGGCCGGCGTCACCCACGTCGCCGCTATCCAAGCTAAATGGTCAGTTTACTAAGGACCTAGTCACCTCTACCCTTCGTCAGGCATTGAGATCTATCGGTGTGGAGGGCCATTTTTCAGGCCATTCCTTGCGCCGAGGGGCTGCTACATCCGCACGAGAGGCCGGCCTTAGTGACGAAGAAATTCAGCTATTGGGAAGGTGGAAATCGGACTCCTATCGTCTATATATTGTGACTCACCCAGCCCGAATACTCACTGCATCTCGTCGGCACCAGCATCTTCCGTCCCTACAGCGCTAGTGATGGCGATTCTCGCCATGGACGTCCTCGGTAAGGACGTCGTTTGGGGTTTGGGAGTTATCTTGCGCTGGGGTACGAGAATATGCCTGTTCAGGCCTCTATTTTGGCCTGTTCAGGCCTGCTATCCCCAGCGTGAGGCAGCCCAACCACTACCTACACTATTGGTCCCCTATGTGTGCATGTGATGCGTGTTTTGCATGAATGGGATAACTAAGCTTGCAATACGCTAAAAAACAATGACTTTCGTAATTAATGTGGGGTAGGAATGTGACAGATAATAGAAAAGGTAGGTAACGATTAATGGAAGTGAGGAATGAAGATCTCATTTTAGAGAATTGATTATATTTTACTATACCCTGATTTTTTGCGTTATCTCTACTCGAAGAAAGTTGACATCTTATTGCATTATGCGATTTCGTCTACTACATCAAGTCCAGCTTCTTAATTTAGTTTATTCGAACTTCGTCAACCTTGCAACTTCTATCACCTTTCAAGCCATTCATTCTCAATCATTCACATTCACCTACATTAAAGAACAACCTCTCTCATTACACATCCTTTCCATCTCATTCTCGACCATCTTTTTCTATCTTCTACATACTCACAATCATCACGATCGATTCACCTCATTGCCGCACAGAAATTTCGGTCACCATTCAGAGCTCTAACGCTCTTCCACCACCATCTTCTCACTTGCATCGCCCCTCATCCCACCAGTACGATAGGTAAAGCTTACCGCATTCTCACGAGGAACGCTCTCTGTATCTCTCATACTAACAATATTAAATCTCAGCTCGAATCCTTTCATTGAACATGTCAGAATCTGGCAAAGGAAAAGAGGAAACGAGCGACGAGCCGTCAGTTCTCCAGAGCTCGGACAGCTTCTCTAGTTACGAATGCGATACTGACGTTCGTATTGCAGCTCACCCGATGTCAAGGACAACCATCTTGCAAGCGGTCACGCTATGACAAGCGGAACGTACGTACTGCGCATGCTCATTGAGGTCATATCAGAGCCTTTCTCCAATCTGCTGTGGAAGTATCAGCTTCACTGACCATCATTGTTTTAGGGGTGCTACTACGCCGGGGACATCAGGTCCATTCCAGACAGCACACCAGTAAGCATCGCGAAAGCATATTTCCCAATAACGGACAAGGGACAGTGCTAACTTCGAGCCTAGTCATCTTGCATATCCCACCTCCCACAGCCAATGGAGGTCATGAAATCATCGATCTTGAGCGCTGCCTTCCCATCACTCCGATCCGACAACTGCATAGCGAAATGGCACTTGCCGCAACCCAAACCCCGCTTCTCCGTCATCTATCCCGCACTCGAGACGCCGCACGACCAGAGGAGGACTTTGACCTTAAGCCAATCGAAGCTCACGAATTTACACCAATCCGAAGGCACCGCCGCCCTAACCCGCAGCTCCCTAATCTAGGAGATTACTATGCCGATGATGGAGACATTCAGGATCTTCTGGATAGCAAACCAAAGCCAGGATCTGGCCGATCGCGGATATCACTAGAGGCATGAACTTCGGACATGTGGGAAGAGGCACTGGACTGGGAAACGCGGGAGGCAGGCGAGTTAACAGAGACATTGCGGAGATGGGTGACGCAAGAGAGAAGCTGACAGATTTTGAAAGTAGCAGACAAAGGGCCACAGCTGCCAGTGCAACCCTCCCATCACGCTCCAGTCATGGGTGGCCCAAGCTCAGTATTATAAATGGTTTCTTCGCTGTAAAAGCCAGTCCTACTCGGAAACCTCTTTACTTCAAGTAATCCAACACACACAACACAAACCCTGCTCTATAGGTCTTTCAACATCGCGAGGTTTCGAGTTCATCATCTTTCTAGAACCACAAGCTTCCATTCACGACCTAAGCTCACAAATTAGTCTCAGTGGCCTCACGCGACGAATGAAGTCGATCGATCAAAATCTCACTTCAACCCCTTTTGTCTACTGCTTCCGTGGGAAGGTCTGCTCTCAGAGGATCCACCCGAGTTTCCTTTACTTCTATAAGAATTAGTTTTACTACTAGATCTATATACGAATATATATATCTTTCTAATTCCACATTGCTACATAACTCTAAGGCTCTGATCTAAGATCGAGTCTAACATCTGCTGAGGGCACTCTTTAGTATTTAAAGCCCCCAACCTTCCGGCACCGTAACTTCTACACAAGTCTCTCTCCGGTGCACTCACAAAGTGAATCCGCAGGACTGATGTGAAGTGAAGAAAGTCTCACGTCGCAAAAGCCAGATCTCTACAGCATTCACTTCACAACATAACATCAGAACTCAAAGCCTTTCGATCTGAAAATCCCGCACCACCAAACGCACAGGAATGCAGATGATCCTACACTACGGGTATCACTCTAGGGTAAGTATCCCTCAGTATTGAATACCGTACCTGCGAATGACTAGATCGCACAGTCCCCCAAACCCAACCTTACGAGCATGGAGTCAGCCGTCACCGCAGAACCCAATTGGAGCAGCCCAAGCCTCACCACCTTGCCGCGGGAAATTCGAACCCAGATCTATCGCCATCTCGTCGTCAGCTCTAAATCAGTCAAAGTGTGCTATGATTACCATTCCGTATGGCTATATCCGAAAGCCGGGAGGCAAAACAGAGACGTCAGCACTGAGTTCCTTTGCCATGCGGTAGAGGGTTCCGAAATTGCAGTTGAGGTCTACGAGGAGTTCTTTCGCAACAACACCTTCGACTGCGGCAGCTGTGAGAATTTACGACGATTTTTGACCACTACGACCACCCGCTTCAACCTTTATAACAATTTATTTCCTAATACGTCGATTCACGGGTACCTGAAGTTTGAAAAGAAACCGTGGATACGCAAGGTGCATACCCCCTATGACGACGTATCCTTTGTGTGCCACCGCGACCAACATCTCAAATACTTGTTATATACAAAAAGTCAAATCTTGCCTTATATTTATGGATACATCTACCCGCCACCAGTGCTTAATATCTCTATACACACCTCATCCAACGCTAATCCAAACGTCACTGCAAAAAGTGCTCCACAGAGCATCGAGAAGGTCAACCTTAGCTGGCATGGTCAAAGTCTGCAAGCTCACCGTGACCACATCTCAGTTTCCCGCTTTGACTTTGTGTGAGAATCATCCAAGGACTTTGCGTTATGCTTGGAGCACGTTGGTGCACATTGCCGTCTGGGACATTCATCAAGAAAGGCAAGACCAAAGGAGACTTGATACGGCTAACGAACGTTGAGTCGAATGAGAAATGCTGATTCAACGAAGAATGAAGCCATCATCGTGCCTCCAGTTGCAGAAACCTCTCCAACGAACCGTGAGCAGCATTTGACCGAATCTGGGTGTGGCTTCGTCAAGGCCGATGCTGACGTGACAGTCAGCGTGCCTTTAAATCCTTGATGTCCAAGAGAACTTGCGTGGGATTGTCAGAATTGGACCAGAAATTTCGAACTTGCCAGCTTCTATATCTCATCGCCAGCACAGATATGAATGTCGTAGAGAACGCGTTGAATTCACTGCAAGATCCGCAGCTGGAAATCGCAATATGAATGGAGCGTGCTCAATCTTTCCTCTCTTGACTATTCACGGCTAGAGGAAATCGACTATCTACTAACGAGATGACATTTGGAATACGGTATAACGCCTTCGATCTGATTCTTTGGTTCTGGCAGCGCTGGCTACAAAATATCGCAAAGGCATGAACGCTTTTCGAAGAATTCAAAAGGAAAGAGCCGTAATTATGGAGAGATGCTGAGCGATGATCCCAGGTGAGTTACGTACTCCTACGAAAATACATCTTGTACTCTCCTGAAACTCCCAGCGATGATCCGGACTGTTATACAAGGTGACAACGAGGACGAGAAGAGCATCACCGAGACCGAAGAGGAGAAGACTCGCAACACTCTTGCCCCCAAAAACCCGTCAAACGCCAAAAGACTAAGACTTGCCGTGTTTTCGAGCATGTCTCACCTCGCAAGGGCAAGAAGACTGACTACAAGAACCTGGATGATCCATTCGTCAACATGGATAGTGCCCAGGATGAGAATCGTAATATCGTCTTCGACGAGTCCAGTGATACCGAGAGTGAAGTGCCTATCCAGCAGATGGCTCATTCAAAGAGACTAAGGATGCTGCTATCAATATTGAGGAGGCTGTCAAGGCAATCGTGGAAGGTACGATGCCTCACAACGTCGTAGCATCGCATCTACATACGCCAACGGTATAAGTTCCCGCTCCTCTGCTACCTCTGCTACCTATGCTAATAACCTACAGGTACCATCTATGAAACCATAGAAGGCCGCTTCCGCATCATCAGGAAAGAAGTCATGATCCTTGGGGCCGAGATTGACATTAGAGACCGTCCTAAAGCTCCAGCAGATTCGGTGAAATATCCAAAATTCACTACCGCCGTGTGAATTTTCCTAGCGTATCTTCAACACCTCCTAAATTTCTGGAACCCTTTCTTTCTACATTTTTCCGTCCTCGCACATCTCTCTTGCGAAACCCCCCTTGAAATTTTGACACTGTGCGCATTGGGTGGTGACAGAACTGTCAACTGGCTCTGAGACCGGAATCACAATGTTTCTGTCTCCGACCTGACTTACTCGTATCAATACCGTGAAGGCCTGTGTTTACCAGCAGCGTATTTTGCAGAAGATTTCTCTAGCATTCGCTGATTAATCTTTCTTACGCTCCACCTTGCAATCATCCCAAAAAGTATGGAAATCTAACAGTCATGAAAGATCCTTAGACTTCAAAATGCGAGTTCCAGCATCTATCTATATCATACTCTTTTCAGAATTTAGACCATTTGCCCCAGCAAAGTATACCAATTAGATTTGGCTGCGCATACTGTGACTTTAATGTGTACGCTCCTTCTCGTCACAGTGGGGCTTCAAGTTGGTGAGCCTTGCGGCAACTAACCTGCAGCTTGCGTGCATTTCCTTGCGGCCGTTCTGTTGGGAAGGGTCACACTTCCATCTCATACGTTCAGGCTGATACGCAGAGACAATTGGCACCAAGTCATCACGCACGAGTGGAAATTGACTATAGTCCGAAGACACGCCAGCTTCAGAAAGACTTCAAGCACAGAGGCTGTCGCGCAAAACGTCGACGGCACCCCTCGATCGTCAAGAAACACAAAAGAGGATCCCACAATCTCCTTCCGCTTCGCCGACCTCCCCGCCGAAATCCATGATCAAATTTATCGCTGTTAAGGTTGAGAAGACAAAAAGTCTGAATCCTCTACATCCACTCAGCATGTGTGATTTTCTATTGAAAATCTTCAGCCAGGCCAGCTTCAACTCTCTTTCGAATATACAGGATATTTGGCTCACGTAGTATGGGTACTAGACGGAGGAGTTAATTGTATCGAGTGCGTTTGTCAGCGCGCTGCTTCGAAATCTCTTAAACCCCCAAATCCTTCCCCTCAACCATTCTTTCTCCGCATTTCTTTGTCTACACGACCTCATTTCCACACATCGACCTTTCCACACATTTGTCTTGCCAGTGCACTGCTATATAGCTTCATCCCTGAGATTTTAAGCACTTGCTACGTCGTCAATTCCTAACACTCTTCAAGTGGTCTTCCGTCCTCTCGCTACGCATGTGCTCTATCTCTATATACATATAGTGCACGCATGTCAGAAACAATTGCAAACGAGTCATCGCAGCGCTCAATTCATCTACACTGGTCAAGACTCAAACTCACTTTGAATAATCAGGGACTTTCCACTGTGACTCTCCTCAAACACTGTCTGATCTAATCACCGGAACCAAGTTGGTAAGTAAATTCAAAGAATGATTTCACATAACGCAGTTGCTTACGATTCCCTCATGAAGGGTGGCTTTCTTTCTCAACCGGAGATTGGAATGAATTCCAGTCCATCAACCAGAATCCCATTCCCATCACTTCCGCAATACAGGTTTCCCGTACATCTTCCAATAATCAATTTCCACGCATCAGCACAACACTTGAGTCAAAATTCCAGATGTGGTCAGCGTGCTGAGATTCCGAGAGGCCCATACTGGTAGGAATTCGTTACCTATGGATATCAACGCTAAGAACAGCATGCATAGAACAGGCAAAGTGGATCTTGTGGTAATGAGTTGATTGATTCTTGGCTAAGGAAAATCTATGACTATGAGAAGTGTAAGTGCCAAAGGCGCAGAAGAAGATCAAGTTGGAAAAGAAGGCCGACGGCAAAGCCGAGGTGGACGGGATCGGCGCTGAAGTGTTTAAAGCTGAAGCAGGGGGAGAGGGCATTGATCTGGAGCGTGACGAGTATGTCCTCTTGACCCGTCTCTCGATCTTGCTACGCTGATGCCAAGAAGAAGCTAAGGCTAAGTTCATAACAGTTGCCCCCCTTTCAAGAAGGCCGTGTCGCCCTCGAGGCCTGTTCTGAACTCGGAACGCGCTTAGGAACAGCGGTGCCTTGAAGAGCGCAAGCAGGAAGAGACACACAGTGATCGGATGGTCACTCTCCGGCATCGTGCTTCTGGTTCATGTTTCGGATCTCAAGTAGCTTGTCATACTCCGTGCTCGGCCGATCGATCCACTTCTGGCAATCTTCAGTGACCTCGCCCCGATCTCCATGTTCCACAAGTCGACTTGCGAAGGTAGGATTAGCCTCACCGAAGGTAGTCAGTGCTGCATTCGAAGTGACGATCCACCCACCTCATCTACAACCGTTCAATCACCAACAACGCCTATCAATCTCTCACTTCAAAAGGCCTAAAGGTCAAGAATTAATCGACTGGACTCCTGAAAATGACGCAAAATTAATGCTCACCATCCTCGTCGTCGAAAACGTGTATCCCAACTGCGAGAAAGTCGCCGCAGCTTTCGGTGAGCTTTCCCATGCTTCAATACCACCACGGTCTCTCGCACCCTAATCTCACCACAGGCGGTGCCGTCAACGCGATGGCCATCTCCAACTGCCTCAGTCGTCTGCGCAAGAAGGCTGCTGATGACGGTCTCATGTCTAAAGCAGGCGTCACGGTGCCTGCGAAGGGATCTAAGGGCACTGCTGCCAGCAAGAAGGGAAAAGGGGGGGAAGAAGGGGGGAATGGTCGCTGAGGGTCCTGAGTGAGAAATGCTTCCTGCTTACAGACCTTCTTTCTCTTTATAGATCACAACATGGCGTCCGGATCTTCGCGGAAATCGCCAGCTTTGGTCTCGATCTCCTCGATCTCCACCTTCTTTCTCTTTACCAATTTATCTTCCTTATTCAGATGAGGCACGAGTCTTTTGGTCGTAGCATTCTGCAACCTGTATCCGCGAAAGAGATTATCATTCCTAGAATGACGTGTAGTCTCTCTACAAATGCTGCAAGAGCCACCATCTTGGTCTCGGCCTTTGCCAACTTTTCTCATAGCTGAGCACACTCATTGCACTCATGTTCCTCCTCTTCGTCTTCTGAGCCTTCAGACAGTTTCACAGGTGCACGCACGAGGCGTCCTTTCATGCCTTCAGTTCCCGTCTTGGCCTTCTTAGACTCTACCGCACCTGACACTCCAGTCCCATCATCTGCCTTCTCTTCGTCGGATTCCGGTTCGAGGGTTTTGCGTTTTAACCTTAGAGGTTTGGCATGGACATCTGGCTTCCCGGGTTTCCGTGGGCTTGCCTTCTTCGGCTCTGGCTCTAAAGACGCGGGGGCGTAATCGTTGCTCTGAATTATCACTCTTCTCCTTGAAGGATTTCTTCTGTTGTGTTTCTTAGCGCCGGTGAGTCTAGACACATTTCTCTCGCGGACGCCCGCGCCTTCGGAACATACCAACAGCGGATTTTTCACGCTGCCGGCTCTATACCACACATTGCGATCGGGATCACAAGCTCCCGTCTCAGCTGTGGCAGGCAACTTTCAAGGCTGTGGGAACAGAACTCATGGTTCCTACCGCCTACCGTCCTCAGTCGGATGGACAGTCAGAACGCACCAAGCAGACGTTCCGTGTGGCATCAGGGCTGGGACCGAGACCAAGCGGCCAAGGGTGGCGAATTGAGGAATCTGGAGTTGCTCCAGGCTCTGTTGGCTCTGTTGGCACCGAGTTCGAATGGTGCTTTCGGGTCGGCTTTTGCGGCGACTCCGATTGGGGAGTCGTTGGGGGCTGCGAGCACGGGGGTGGGAGGGCAGATTGTCCACGCTCACGTGCTGGATGCTTGGGGCGCTTTGGGGGTGGGGCTCTATTACGATGAGGATACGATCCTGAGATCCCGCGGGATAGATTTGCTGTAACCCTGCGAAGTACTCTGAACAACTCTACCAACGCTTCCTCAAATCAGGCCCCGAATGAGATTATCTACGAGATGAAACTTAATGATGGAACCGACGTCACGGACTTGTCTGCTAAGGGCCAGACTGATGTGGTCTTTTCCTGAAATTGCTGGAAGGGCAAGCATGCTGCGTCCCCGATGCCCTATAGGGCGGGTAAATTACAAATTCATACCCCAACGTCAACCCTGTAGCAATGTCCGCAGTATGGCGTAAGTCCCTGGCCTCTTCTCCAGGCTTCCTACTACGGCTTTGGCTCTTTCATCCGAAATAATACCGAATACTAACACTCCCAACCCGCGGCTGAGGGTTTCGAAAAGCCCACCCCCCGCGCCATTAGCGAGCGCATGGTCAAGATCCGCCAAACTTCCAAAGCCAACGGCGCCGCTTCCCACTTCAGTGTCTCGAAGGCAAAGTCCGGTGCCGGTCCAGCTGGGACACCACGCAAGCGCGCTACCGCTCGTACCAATGCGGCGGTCAAAAAGGCTACTGCACCAGCTCAGGTTGGCAAAGGAGGAAAGGTCTCTGCCCGTGGTAACGGCGGTGCCGGTGAGAAGCGCAAGCGTGGGAATCGGGGCAGGAGCGGGGAGTATGTCTCCCCGCACCTTACTTTCCGGGGGACTGGTTCCGCACATTCGGCTCTCGCGTTTGGCACTAACGCAACTTATCTTCGGACAGTCCCCCTCCGACAGTCCCCCGTCCACACTAATGTGGCTACCGGCTATACCCGCAGCCACCCGGCTTGGCATAGGCCTTGGCATAGTGGATATCTGACTGGTGGGTGCATTGTCAGTTGAATTAAATAATTCTACTATGTGGATAGTAAAGGATGATGAATTCTATGAAAGCCTACTGTAGAAAGGTAACCCCATCGCCAAGCACTTATTCTATATGTAGCTAGCTGCAAATGCCTGCAAGGAAGTCACGCCTGTTAACTTTGTCGATATTTCTTTCATTCCACGGTATAAATATCCAAATAGGACGTTACACAGGAGGGAGGCCTTATGGTGTGGGTTCTCAGCGATGACTTTTATCACAATTCTAGGAAGGCTGTGAGTTCAAATCCACGAAGGTGGCGAAAACACGCCTCTTCTTGTCTGCAACCGTCGCAGCATACTCGATGGTATTCATAATGTGCGGATGGGCGAAATAGAGGAAGAAAGGTGGGCATTCACCTACTTACAAGGCCTGCCGACATCGATCTTCTCACCGATGCTAGCGGTCTAATTATGGTGATTTTTTAGGAAGGTAATAGTACACCAACACTCTCACATGCATTAGCGAGTTTTGGTGTATGTAGCTAATGATACGGCTTAGCAATGGATATTTACGACGCGGGCCCTTATTCTACTACTATTGCACTACCTCCGACCCACTTATGACGTACCTTAAGCACCACGTCGTCGCTCTGAAGGATCACTTCAAAACCAATGAAGTGGGAGGAATTCATCTGAACTTGAAGTCTCTCACAATCGGATGAACAGGGCTGGCGCAACCCCTCATCAAAATTAGGTGGGGCCGAAAGCTTAACGTGTAGATCGTGCGCGGGAGGCTTTTTTTACTTTGACGGGGGACTGTCGGAGGGGGACTGTCCGAAGATAAGTTGGCGCTAACGTTGTATGCTTGCAGCGATGCTACCGATGACTCCGAGGACGATAAACTCAAATCCGACGAGTCTGACTCCGAAGATGAGGACGAACCGCCCAGCAAGAAAGCTAAGTACGGAAAGGGTAAAGTCAACGTCAAACTTGAGGAGAGCGAGGGCGGATTCTGTGACAGCGGGTATGAGAATGCGAATGAGGATGCTTTTGTGGGCACTGAGGAGGAGGTCTTTGCCTAGGGGAGGGAAGAGGAGGATATCAGAGTTGAGGCAAGAAACTTACAGAGAGTGGGTGACTGTAGATCCCTTCTGGGTCTCGCCTCCGAACTGTCTCAAGCTATCCCAAGCTATCTCTTTTGTTTGTGTCCCCGCTCAGCATGTGGCAGGCATCGCGGAGACAACGCTCATACATCGTTTTTTTCTTAGCGTCGCTCATCCAAACCGATGATCTAGAATCTTTCCCTGGGTACCCCATCGTCTGGCAGGGGGTAAAATTCAGGGGTTCCGACCGAACATCAAAAAACACCCCCATAGCATGTTAGTGTAATTCAATGACGCCTGCTTTCACAACAAAATACTTAGTGTCGCGATTAATCTTTATAAGCAGATCTAAGATTCTATAATAGAAAATAAGTCTGTGATTCTTGTCGTTCAAAAGTCATTGTGTGATGAACATACAGATATTTGATGTTCTGCCAAGACATTTTACCCCCAGGCGCCAGACGATGGGATAGTGAACGTATGGACCTTACTGGCCCCCACCTAAAAGATTCAGGACCCACTTGGCTGATGTCCCCTTTTTCTTCGATGGCAAGGACATGGGCCTGAGTCTAGGAGTATAATTTTAGTTGCATTGCGTACTCTTTCGAAGGTCGATACTGGACAGATGCTAGGGGGGCTTCAAGTAGAGCCTGGTGCGATGCCTGGCGGTCTCTGGCTGCTTGCATAGCATATACAGACATAATGAAAATCTTCAATGCAGTAAATCATTCAACACGAGCGATATCAGGAGTTGATTGTGCCGTCAATTCATTACAAGAGCATGCTTCCAAGGATCCACCTTTCAATGACCATGGCAGGGGTGCTTCCATACTGTCCCGCTAGATTTGACTCCCTCATGCACCTCCATGCACCTCTGTGCGCCACTATCCCCCATGAAATGAAGAACCGTCGTACCACTGACTATTAATTAGGATTAAAGAAGAGGCCTTTTGTACCAGGCCGAAAGTATCATAGACTCAGCTGGTTCTGTGCTGCCACAAAAGCCATGACGCGACTGTGGCGATGGTCACTGGGAGAGAGACAGCCCAGTACACCCAAAATTTCTCGGATACTACCCGGGATTCCTGCCGAGTCTTGCTAGCTGAAGAGAAGTCAAAGAAGCTTGTACTGAATAAAGCCTCCAGGCAACCCGAAATTAGTCGGTGTCTGGTGCGGAAAGACCATGGTTCACTCACAGCAATGAAAGTTGCAGGCAATAAGGTTAATGTCAGGACTGCTATCGTCCTCATTGCTGCGCTATCTCTCCGTGCTGCTTCGCTCATCTTTACCATGACCTTGCTGTCATCCTGCGTGATGGTGTTGAAGGCCTGCCGAGGTCAATTGAGGTAGGATTCGAGAGATACTCGAATGCAGACTGACCAAGTCTATCTCGTTGCGCAGTCTTACCTCGTTAGTTTTAGATCGTGCACTTAAGTTCCGCAACGTCTGAACCTCAAAGCGGAGTGCTTGATTTGTCCGCCGTGAGACGTTGGAACTCGTGTCCGAAGGGGGCACTTTGCAGAACCACTCGTGTTGGCAAAGGATACTTTTTGTTGTTTCTGTTGCAACGTCAAGTGTTTCCGAGGCATGAACCACATGCCGCGCGAAGTCATGCAGTAGGGGGAAGTTGGCTGCTTGTTGGGCAACGCCGTGCCGATTCTAGAGACATATCAATTTGAGTTGGTTCCTCGTGTCAAAGATGCTGTGGTGGCAGCTTTACTACTTCAATCATCCTCACAGAGTCTCAAATAGACCAGACGGAGGCGTCGAAGGCTTTGATGATTTTTCCAAGGACGATCGCATGAAGCGAATAAGGATGAGACAGGTCAAGCGTTGTTGACGGCGACAATAAAAGGTTTCGAAGTCCATCGCGTAGATGCTGAGGCACGTCGAAGCAGAGAACAACATGTACATTTGCTGAAGTCCATTTCGTGAAGAGTGCTATCTCTTCCATTCGTAATTGTGGTATTGGATACCCCTGACTTCTACTAGCTGCTTTATTATAAATCGGAACCATGTATATGCACCGGTCGTTAGTAGAGATTTACATTACTTAGAAAAGGACTATAACATGACTTTTAACCCTACCTTCTTCATTGTACGAATCTCCGCAACCAAAGAATCCATTAGAACGTTGGTAACTCTCGGACCAGAACAAATCAGGTATTGTGTATCGATCAGCGAAAGCCTAGCAAGAGGCGTGTAACGGACACAACATGGCTTCGCTTTTTGCTCTGTCTACACAATGTCTTAGCACGTGTCGCCAGTGCCTCGGTAGTGTTTATAGATAAGACCGAAGACCGTCCTCTATTGTCGCACTTGTGCTGCGCCATGTTCCTTCCACTAATGCCAGTCAACATTCGTAATCAGCGGAAGGTCAGCTTCGTACCTTGTTCAAGGATATCGATGGAACTCATTGGGAATATGGTGGTGTTCAAGTCTCGCATTGATACAATCTGTATTGACGAGACTTCGAAAGCGTTCACCAGCAACGAAATCGGTCAGCAGCCTGTCAGTGTCAGGCTGAGGGGACCGAACAAATTCGGGCAAATTACAAATTCATACCCCAAACTATGCGATCCTTACAAATGCATACCCCATCTTACATTTTCATACCCCTTATTAAAAAAAATAGGGTATGAAATTGTAAGTTGCTACTACTTAGGGTATGAAAATGTAAGTTGCCATTTCTTGGGGTATGAAAATGTAAGATGCCACCAACTTGTAGATGTAGCCGTCCCTGTGCCCTGGAAGCGTAAAGTGTACCAGAGGACGTAGTGGTGGTCAAAGACGACGGGCTTCTGTCACCTTAGTTAGTGATATGCCAAAGAGAGGTAGAGGACGGGGGTCTTGAACGATAGCGGTAGCTGCCTGGCAGATGGCGGTCGGTAGGCTCCACTGAGCGTCAGGTAGTGGTCGTCGACTCCGCTGTCGATGACGGTGGTGTGGTGTGGTGTTGTGGGGTGGGGTGCTTGCGTTTGGCCCTCGAGTTGGCCCACTCGGCTTCCGTCTGATGTCTTGGAGCTGTTAAAATTTTCATTAGATGCGGTCGAAGAGATTCCCTTACTTCTATAATCTAACGGGCCAGATCGCGGATCCTCTCCTTAATAATTTAAAGCCTTTATAAAATTTCGAAAGTAAGCCCTTAGATAGCAATTCCAGGCCACTATGGCAACTTACAAAATCATACCCCTATAGATGGCAACTTACAAAATTATACCCCTATTAATGGCATCTTACAAATTCATACCCCGTTGGGGTATGAAAATGTAAGATGGGGTATGATTTTGTAAGGATTGCATAGTTTGGGGTATGAAAATGTAATTCGCCCAACAAATTCGATGGCTTTGTGGATCTATGCTCTCTTAAGAAAATGATCCAATGCATCCTGTAAGTCTACAAGGTTGCGGTGGCGGATCTATAGGCTCTTGTGCTCCGCAGGGGGGGAATCGTCTTTGATCATTGCTGCGTAGGGTAAATCACAAATTCATACCCCAAAACCTTGGATTCTTACAAATTCATACAAATCTTGGCGGGCGAATTACTAATTCATACCCCGAAAGTATGGATCCTTACCGAATCATACCCCTAATTACTAAATCATACCCCTATACCAAATTTCACCCAAATATGAGGTATGATTCGGTAATTTGCCATTGCTCGGGGTATGATTTGGTAAGGATTCGTACTTGCTACAGTGGTCTATTTGAGTGGCCTACTTGTAGATACAGCTAGGTGCCTATTAGAAATTATTCCTTTAGGGCCCTACGGAGGCCTAAATAGGGGTGTCTGCAGCATAAAGTGTAGGATAACCTGGGTATTTAAGAGGGCCCCGGAAGCGTTTTCGGGGTAGTGAACTGTTAGTAGCGGCCTCTACGGGGGCCCTGCGAAGGCCCTGCGGGGGTAAATATTTAGGTTCAAATAGGGGTGTTCTGGCTGTTAAGCGTAGACACCCCCCGGGACCAGCCTTTTTAGCTGACTTGCTAATAATAGTGTCTACGCTTGACAGCCAGAACACCCTTATTTGGACCTAAATATTTACCCCCGCAGGGCCTTCGCAGGGCCTTCGCAGGGCCCCCGGGGGTCGCTGCTAATATGAACCCCGTAAACCTTGAAGCGTAGGGTGTGATTGGCCCTTCGAGCAGTCGAAATTGCCCCCACTCGACTTTCATCTGATGTTTTCAGACTGATAGAATTCTTATCAAATACGGTTGGAGAAAATCTCTTACTTCTATGGTCAGATAGGCCAGATCGTGGATTATCTCCTTCGTAGGTTGAGGCCATTTTGATAACTTATCGAATCATACCCCAAGCAATAACAAATTACCGAATCATACCCCATATTTAAGTGTGATTTGGTGTAGAGGTATGATTCAGTAATTAGGAGTATGATTCGGTAAGGATTTATACTTTCGAGGTATAATTCGGTAATTTGCCCAAATCTTGATTATTCTTTAGGGTATGAATTTATAATTTATTGGACTACGTCTTTAAGGGCCCGGCGTTTAACGCCCCTAAAGAAGCCTCGGGTTACGATGTTCTATTTCAATTTTTTTTTTTTTTTTTATTACGCGCCATCAAAATTTAAATCTAAATATAACTACTATAACTACCATAGCTAGCACTATTACTTATTTTAATAATCTACTATTATAGTCTATTCTAATAGCTAATTCTATAGTATTATAATAGCCGTCTATAGATCTAGCATAGTAGATATCTCTACTAAGAACTCATATATGGCCTATTTTTATTCTAGCGAGATATATATCTATATAGTACGCGATAATTATTTAAATTACTTTATTAAGTTAAGTACTTATTAAAATAATAATTATAACTATAACTATAGTTATAATAATAATAATAATAATAAAATAATAATACTAAGTTTAGGCCTATAAATTAAATTTATAAAAAGTATTTAATTTTTAAATCTAATTTCGAGATAAATTCGACTCTCGAAGAGTAAAAATACTTTAATTTAAAATTTACTACGATGCGTAACGAGGCGAGAAACCTCGACGAAGTTTCGAAGTATATCTCGGCTATCTCGATGAATTTTAAGTTTCTCTAAATAGAATATAGAATATAATATCGTAGTCTAAATTAGAGTGTAAGATATAGATGCTTAGAAAGATAATTAGAAGATATGTGAGATTGTATTTAGAGGGATATCGTAGGGGTATTACGGGGATAATAGCCTCGAGCTAATCTAATTAATAGACGTTGCGAGGATAACAGCCTCGAGTTAATCTGATTAATAGGCGTTACGGGGGTAACGAGGTACCCTTATTACCTCGGTGAAAAAACCCTACCCCGACCCGACTCTACCCCGTCAAAACTCTAACCCGGAGCGAGGTGGTGTTGGGTACTCAAAACCTCGCCCTATTCCGCCCCGTTACGTAGCGTAAGATTTACATAGAACTATAAGATTAAATTTTATAAATTCTAATTTTTAGAAAGTATAAAATAAGTTCTATAAATAATAAAAATAACAGTTAAATTTAGATAGAGAAAAGAGAAGTTATATTAATAATAAGTTTTTAAAGAGTTAAATAACTTTAAATTAATTTAGATCTAATTAATAAGAAGTTAATTTTAACATCTATTACGAGTCTAGGCCTATGAAATCAATTTATAAAAAGTAATTAATTTTTAGTGTTACGGATATATAGCATAACTAGAAGAATTCTACTATTTAAGCGAGATTTACGCTCTTTTAACCCTGCGGTTAGCGATACCTTAGCGAGTAATAGCGATCTTCTTTTACGATATATATATAATAAATATACGATTACTTTATTAAGACGTGTTAGTAGACCACCTCCGCCTTTAAACGATAAAGAATAAAAAACGAATTAAATAATTAACGATTATATATCTTAATACGATTAATAAAATATTATATCGAGTTAAAATAATTATAGTATTTTTAATACGTTTTATATATTAAAATCGTTGCGATATTATTATAATATCGTTCTAAAATCGAGAAATCGTTATAAAATCTAGAACTATTTTAAAAAAAAATTAAGAATTCTATAATAATAGTTAAGATATATTAAGAAGAGTTTTATTTATAAAATTAATTAATTTTAAATAATAGATATACTCGCTAATTCGAACTACGAAACTATCTTACTCTATAAATTTTTATTACTCGATTAAATTTACTTAAGCTAGAGAATAGTCTATTTAATTATATAAAGTAATTTATATAAATCTATTATTACTAAGATATCTCTATAAATATCGTAATTTTACTAATTTATAATTACTATCGTAATATCTTAGATTTCTAAATTTATCGTATTGAAATTAATACGCTTTTTTAGAGAAATTAATCTACTACCGTTCTACGAAAAGCACCACTAAAAATATATAACGTACTTAAAAATTTCCAGTATCACGGTACATTACTAAGTAATCGTTAAAAGGCGATAATTTTTACTAATTTAGTATAGGTACGGTTACCGCAGCTCATAGCCCTCCGCTAAGGTAGTTACGCTTTCCCGTGACAAATGATAGCAACACCGGTTCGACTCCGGGTGTGGTCGGTCAGCTTTGAATAGGTTACTCGCCGCTGCACTTGGGTTTGGTGGGGGCTCATAACCCCCGTGCCTTCCTTAGCTGCGCACCAGGCCTGCGAGTAGCTTACGGGTACACCCGGGGGCCCCTATATAGAAACATGCGTGTAGGCCAGCGCATGGGGACATGCGCCATTTTTCGAAGTGTGCAATTGTTACGGATATATAGCGTGACTAGAAGAATTCTACTGTTTAAGCGGGATCCACGCTCTTTTAGCCCTGCGGTTAGCGGTAGTTACGCTTTCCCGTAACATTTAGATCTAATTTCGAGATTAGATTTAATTCTAGAAGAGTAAAAATACTTTAATCTAAATACTATAAGACTAAATATTATAATTTTTACATTATTAGAGAGTATAAATTAGACTCTATAATAAGAAAAAAAATCTAAAAGTCTAATAGAAAGTGAAAAATTTATATTAAATTCAAATAATGTATATCTATTTTTCTAATTAGGGCTGTCTCGAGCAACTTTGATTAGCGATCTTTAGTAAGCGATATTTAAATCCCTTGCCATTGAAGAATTATAAGACTAAATTTTAAGATTTTTTTATATTTAAAAAGCGTAAATTATAATCTATATTTTAAGAAAAAATTTAAAAATTTTAATAGAAGATAGTAAAGTTATTAAAGGGTTTAAAGTAGAGTAAGAGATTTTAATAATTGCTAACGCTAATTTATTTATCCGCGATATCTAATTAAAAAGCGTAGCGAATTCGAATTTATAATTAGCTATATATATAAATTTAAATTTTTTTAACTTAACTCTATCTTATTCTATTATATATATTAATAATTTCTATAATATTTATTAATTTTATAATTTTTACGATTTTACGATTTTACGATTTTTTAGCGAGAGAGATTTATAGATTCGAATCGAGAACGAAGCGAAAGAGTTTCGAATTTTATTGAAATTATTACTACTCGACTATCTAAGCTTATATTAAAGAGTATTTTTAATAGAGTAGATAAGTCTTTAATAAGCGATATTTAAATTCTTTATCTTAAAACATTTATAAGACTAAATTTAATAATTCTTTTTTTATTTAAAAGCGTAAATTACGTTCTATAATTTAAAAAAAAAATTAAAAAAATTTAATAGAAAATAAAAATGTTATTTTAAAATTAAATAATATATATCTATTTTTTAATTAGAGCTATCGACTATCGAGTAAATTTAATAAGCGAACTTTTAATAGACGATATTTAAATTCCTTACCTTTCAAAATTTATAAGACTCAATTATATAATTTCTTCAAGTTCAAGAAGTGTAATTTACGCTCTATAATTGAAAAAAATAATTGAATTCTTTTAATAGAAAACAAAAAAGTTATTCTAAAATCAAATAATATACACATATTTTTTGATCAGGGCTGCCGGCAAATTTGGTGGGCGAACTTTGATAAACGATATTTGAGGTCCTTGCCTTTTAATAATTATAAGACTAAATTTTCGAATTTTTACGCCATTGAAAAGCGCAATCTTCGCTCTATAATTAAAAAAAATAATCTTAAAATTTCAATAGAGAATAAAAAAGTTATTCTATGTGTGAATTACGCTACGTAACGGAGCGGGGGACCCCGACGGGGTTTCGGGGGGGGTCGGAGTCGGGATGGGGTTTCGGGTCGGGGTTTCGAGTTTCCTCGAAACCCTAACCCCGCCCCGACCCGGGAGCGGGGTTTCGGAGTATACCCCGTTACCCCGATGAACCCTAAATACCCCTAAGCGACCCCTCTAAAATTTGATATTATGTATTAAGAACTACGATAAAATAGAGTATAGAATACGATATCGTAGTCTAAATTAGAGTATAAGATATAGGTGCTTAGAAAGATAATGAGATATGTGAGATTAAGGCGCTACGGGAACGCTACGGAGACGTTACGAGGGTAACGACCCCGAGCTAACTTGATTGATAGGCTTGGCGGGGGTAACGGGGTGCCCCCGTTACCTCGATGGAAAAACCCCACCCCGACCCCACCTTACCCCGTTGAAACCCCGACCCGGAGCGGGGTGGTGTTGGGTACCCAAAACCCCGCCCCACCCCGCCCCGTTGCGCAGCGTAGGGTGAATAACGTACACCTATTTTTTTGATAAGAAGGCGTAGAAGGGCTATCGAGCTAACTCAGCCGGTCTAATCAAAGAGCGTAGCGGACTCGAATTTATAATTGACTGCATATACAAATTCAAGGTTTTTTAACTTAACTCTATCTTATTCTATTATATATACTAAAGAGTGTTAGAATTTCAGATATGTAATGCGTGTTGTGTAGAACGGACGGATTGATTCTCTAAAACCTCTCCGGGGCCAGGTCCTAAATACAGTACAAAATCAGGTGGCTGGAAAACATGGTGGCTGGGATGCGCGGGAGCCACATTTCGACACTCCCCTGCAGCCACGGTGTCGATTAGAATGGCAGACGCTACTGCGGGACTACTGCAAGCCACTTGCGCAGTCATCTCCACTAACCCCCATATAGAATAGGAGGTAAACAATGGAGACGCGCTCATGCCTCGCTCCCATGCTTTCGTCCCATGTTTCTTTCATGTCATCGTCGCTTTCTACCACCTTCTATCATTGTCGACTCCCTCTCCACCCTCCACAGCCCAAATTGCCTAGCACATAGCCGGGATCATGTCGCGCCTCCTCAACAACCCCCCAAATATCGAGACAATTTCCGATGCCCGTCCAAGCCCTCCTTGCGGATGAGATCACCGCGGCAGGTGATCTCATTATGGCCTCGAACGAGTTGAAAGAGCTGGATGACGAGACCCACTGCGATTGCGAGTTCTTTCGCAAATACCAGCTACCGTGTCGCGATATTTGGGCTCAGCATCAGCTCTTTGGGACGCTGAAAGAGGAGGATTTTGACCGCTGGACGTTCATGTGGGAGGACTCGGGCTTTGAGCTCTATGAGGGTATCACCTCGGAATACTACGAGAGGGGTATCGACGGTGAGATTGGGGCGCCGGCGAGGCGTCGACTTGATATAAGCGGACTTTCAGGAGGAGGTGTAGGCCAAGTATGGGGTGGTGGAAGGGGCAAAGAATCCTCTGGGGGGGGGTCTCTACGACTATGGATATGGGAACGACGGTAGCGACGTTAATCAATGAATTGTACAGCCTTAAATGTGCCCAATTGAGTGACAGCGAATTGCCAGAAGATCAGACGATTGTCGACACGATGTTTGCCTGAGTTGCACGCGTCTCCATTGTTTACCTCCTATTCTATATGAGGAATGGTGGAGAAGACTGCGCGTGTGGCTTGCAGTAGCCTGCAGTAGCGTCTGCCATTCTAATCGGGACTGCAGCCACGCTCCCAGTCCACCCAACAAGAAATGAAGCCATACACAACTCCCATCAACGATAAAGGCCATTCCAGCCTTCGACAACAACAACAGGCCATTCCAGCCTTTCAACAACAGGCCATTCCAGCCTCAACAACAACAGGCCATTCCAGCCTCTCAACAACAGGCCATTCCAGCCTTTCAACAAGAGGCCATTCCAGCCTTTCAATAAGAGGCCATTCCAGCCTTTCAATAAGAGGCCATTCCAGCCTTTCAACAAGAGGCCGTTCCAGCCGTAACAATAGGCCATTCCAGCCGTAACAATAGGCCATTCCAGCCGTAACAACAATAGGCCATTCCAGCCGTAACAATAGGCCATTCCAGCCGTAACAATAGGCCATTCCAGCCGTAACACACACCATCCTGGTGTAACACGTCTTCCTGACGTAACACCCCTTCCTGGGGTAACATGACATGCCCCTAAAGCGTAACAGCCTTCCTAGGTAACAAGAGTAAGACGTGACACTCCACCTCGGAGTAATGTAGTCATTCCACATAGAACTTGTATGCCTCACTGGTACGTGTCTCCATTGTCTGTAGTCCTTCACGACGTTCCTCTTTGCCACTATCCCATTATTTGACGACGAGGGTTCTATACCACTATCTTATTATTTGACGACGAGGGTTCTTTGCGACGACGAGGGTTCTTTACGACGACGAGGGTTCTTTGCGACGATGCGACGATGTAGTTATAACTCTATACCTGAATTAGTCTTATAGGAAGCTGGCATCATAGCGACTTAGCCTGTATGCCCTGCAGACCGGGCTCATAACCTGTTAGAATTTCAGGTATGTGGTGTGTGTTGTGTAGAACGGACGGATTGATTCTCCAAAACCTCTCCGGGGCCAGGTTCTAAATACAGTACAAAATCAGGTGGCTGGAAAACATGGTGGCTGGGATGCGCGGGAGCCACATTTCGACACTCCCCTGCAGCCACATTTCGACAAAGAGCTAAGCTAAAAAATCTTAAATTTATATATATAGCCAATTATAAATTCGAGGTTATTACGTCTTTTAGCTAGACTATCTAAGTTAGCTCGCTAGCTCTCTCGAGATCTCTTATTAAAAAAATAGATATACGTTATTTATAAATAAAATAACTTTTTTATTTTCTATTAAAATTAATTTTTTTTTTTAAATTATAAAGCGTACTTTACGCTTTCAAGTTTAAAAAATTATAGAATTTAATCTTATAAATATTTAAAGGCAAGGAATTTAAATATCGTCTATTAAAAGTTCGCTCACCAAATTTGCTCCACAGCCGGCAGCCCTTATCAAAAAAAAATAGGTTTACGTTATTTGAATCTGGAATAACTTTTTTATTTTCTATTAAAATCTTTCGATTTTTCTTTCAAATTATAGAACGTAATTTACACGTTTTAGAAATCTAGAAACTATAAAATTTAGTCTTATAATTATTTAATATTAAAAATTTCAAATATCGCTTATTAAAGTTCACTTATCAAATTTACTCGATAGTTCTAATTAAAAAGATAGATTATGAATTTAATTTATAAACCTAAACTCGTTATAAAATAATATTATATCTAAATCTAGACGAGAAATATTTATAATACTTACTAGATTAAATTTATAGATAGTAATTATAATATTATAAATTTAGTTACTAAAATAGAATATAATAAATTATAATAAATTATTTAAATCTTATAATTAGTATATATAATAGAATAAGATAGAGCTAAGTTAGAAAATTTCAAATTTATATATATAGTTAATTATAAAGAAATATAATATACGTATATTTACTATATATATATATATATACTCTTCTTTAAAAGCGAAACGAGTTTTATTAATCGTTACGACTAGATTAAAAGATAATTACTAATAATTTATTATTAAATAGTAACTTATACTAGTTATAGACTTAAAAGCGTATAACCGCTTTTCTATATATATTAGAAAATAAGAAGTATCGTAATATTATTATATTAACGCTATTAAAAATCGAATCTACTCGTACTATTCAGAAATAAGTTATCCGACTACAATTTTAGCGTCTTAGCACCCGCTCCCCGCAAATAGCTCTATTTATTTTATTATTTATTTTACTATAACTATTATATATACTATTATTTACTAACTCGATATAATATTAAAATTAACTATAATTTTAAAGTAGCTATAATTACTTATAAACTATTATATCTCGAAGAAAATTTAAAGAAATTAAGCGAAAAACGAGTATAAAAGTTCTTATTATAGCTACTATTATATAAAGAGTAATTAATAACTCTAAAAGTAAAGATTTTAATAAGATTTTAATATATCTTAATAACGTAAATTATATTAAAGTCTCTATTCTAATAAAAGATTAATTAAATCTTTTAAAAATAATACGTTAGATTATACTTAAGCATTTTTATAAGTCTTATTAAAAGACTATTAATTAAGAGAATATTAAGATTTCTAATATTAATAAAAAACGAAAATAAGATAAAGATAAATTATAGCTATTAGTCTCTAGATACTTACTTATAAGAGTAGCTCTTTAGCATATATACGAAGTAGAGAATAATTATATTATAAAGAGAATTAAGCGTAAAATAGAGTCGAAGAAGTTACGATTAAATTATTTTAACGAGTATAAAAGAATAAATCTCTATATTATTATTCTAAAAAAGCTTAATAAAGATTCTATCTTTATTATTAATAACGAGTATTATTATAAGATTTAGAGTAATAACTATAAACGACGACGTATTATAATAGAGAAAGAAAAATCTATTAAGATCGTAGCTATAGCTAAGACTTTAATATAATTTATATAAATATACTAAACCTTCTATTCTATAAAGTTTAATATTAATATATTAGTACGAGTAAAGGCCTATGAATTAAATTCATAATTTTTTTTTTGATTAGGGCTATCGAGTAAACAGATGAGCGATATTTGAATTCCTTACGCTTTAATAATTATAAGACTATATTTAAAAATTCTTTTTTTATCTAAAAGCACACATTTCGTTCTATAATTCAAAAAAAAATGTCAAAATTTAAATAGAAAATAAAAAAGTTATTCTAAAATCAAATAATGTACACCTGTTTTTTGATCAGGGCTGTCGAGCGAACTTTGGTGAGCGATATTTGAATTCCTTGCGCTTTAATAATCATAAGATCAAATTTCAAAATTCTTAAAAATTTGGAAAGCGCAAATAACGCTCCATAATTTAAAAAAAATTTCAAAATTTCAATAGAAAACAAAAAAGTTATTTTATTTGTAAATTTTTTGATAAGGGAGACGCGGGAGGGCGAGATTTTGATGGTTGCGGACGCTAATTTATTTACCCGTGGTGACTCAGCCGGTCTAGCCAAAGAGCGTAGTGACCCTGAATTGATGATTGGCTGCACATACAAATTCAAGGTTTTCAAGCTCAGCCCTATCTTATTCTTTTATATATACTAATATATAATAGAATAAGATAGAGCTAAGCTATAAAATCTTAAATTTATATATATAGTTAATTATAAATTCGAGTTCGCTACGCTCTTTAATTAAACCGGCTAAGTTAGCCCGATAGCCCTTTCGAGCTCTCTTATTAAAAAAATAAGTATATATTATTAATATATAGAATAACTTTTTTGTTTTCTATTAAAATTTTGAGATTTTTTTTTTAAATTGTAGAACGAAATGTGGGCTTTCAGATAAAAAAAGAATTACTAAATTTAGTCTTATAGATATTTAAAGACAAGGAATTCAGATATCGCTCACTAAAGATCGCTTACTAAAACTTACTCGACAGCCCTAATAAAAAAAATGGTTATGAATTTAATTCATAGGCCTTTACTCGTATAAAAGAATAAGATAGGGCTAAGCTTGAAAACCTTGAATTTGTATATGCAGCCAATTATTAATTCGAGGTTATTACGCCTTTTGGCTAGACCGGCTAAGTCACCGCGGGTAAATAAATTAGCGTCCGCAATCATCAAAATCTCTTACTCTACTACGCCTACTTTTAACCCTTTAATAACTTTACTATTTTCTATTAAAATTTTAAGATTATTTTTTTAAATTATAGAGCGTAGATTGCGCTTTTTAATCACGTAGAAATTTTAAAATTTGATCTTATAATCATTAAAGGGTAAGGATCTCAAATATCGCTTATCAAAGTTCGACAGCCCTAATTAAAAAACAGATGCACATTATTTAATTTTAGAATAACTTTTTTATTTTCTATTAAAATTTCGAGATTTTTCTTTTAAATTATAGAACGTAATTGGGCTTTCAGATAAAAGAAATCTTAAAATTTAGTCTTATAGTTCTTTAAAGATAAGGAATTTAAATATCGCTTATCAAAGATCGCTCACCAAAGACCGCTCACTAAATTTACTCGACAGCCCTAATCAAAAAAAACGGTTATGAATTTAATTCATAGGCCTTTACTCGTTAAATTATAATATTATTAGCTAGTATATACTTCTACTAGAAGATATAAATTAAAAGTAGAAATAGTATTAAGAAATTACGAACTTTAAGAAGAAATAAAAGAAAAAAGACGTCTCGTAGTAATTTCGAGAATATTAGAATATACTCTTATTAAGATAATATCTACTCTATATTTTATATAAGAAATACTAATAGACTATAGAATAAGAATCGTATTATTAAGATTTATAATTATTTTCTTAAAGAGAGTAGAAGAGATAAATATAATAAAAATATAAAAAAATATCGAAATCTAGAGCAGATTTTTAAATATATATCTCTTCTTATATTTAAAGACTA